GGTGCTACATCCAGTTGTATGTATAAGCCCTAGTAGCATACATGTTCTCCCACAGCTTGTTGTGTTTTTGTCCCTTTCTCCATTCTTCAAAATAGTTTTTCAAACTGCAGATCTGCCAGAGAGGTAATGCTACTAGTGACAGTTAAGTTCTTACACATTTCTTGAAAGTAGACATCTCTGCAGAGGGCATAAATTCTCTAAATGCCTCCTGTCAACTGATGTGTGCAGGTCTAAGTTCATTCAGCTCCAGAGAATTCTTTGAGGAGGTGGCTCTTATAAATACCAGGAAAGCCTTCTTTACTATAGTCAGTCAGTCGTAACAACCAACCTGTAGGAACTCAGACCTTGTTTTCTCTGGTGTTCATGATATAAGGGAGACATTATGTCTGAAAAAAGTCACCACTAGACCTGACTGAAAGGTTATGGGTGTTTTTGGCTGGGAAGGGCCCTCACCACTCAGAGCAGCTTGAATTGTTGTACTGGTGTTTCATTTGACGTATTCCCCTCCACAGATTTGTAGTAGGCATGAATAAATTAGAAAATGGGAGAGGTTTATTCACACTCTGTCGTTTGTAGTACTTCATCTTCCTCCTTGGCATAGTAGTAGGAGGAAATGAAGCAGCATTAAAATGCTGGGGGAAAAAATGCTATTACTTGAAGGGTTCAAAGATACCACATGATGAAACAGGTCACAAATAGGGTAGAAAGAAAAGCATCACAGGCATGTGCCTTCTTTGAAAATGGTTTAGAAACCAAGGCAGCAGGTGGCCTTTGAATGTGGAAATCAGTGACAAAAACAGTTTGTAGTTGTGGGGTTTTATTTAGGCTATGTTAATGAATCATGTAGTTGTCAGTATGCCTGTGTGAAATACAAAGACTCAAAGTATTTCTTAGATTCATAAGTGTAGATAATGAGAATATTTTACTGAAGTATTTTCTGTAACCCAGAAGGAATTTCTGCAAACATGTCTGTGATGCCTGTTAATAACTTAGGAAGTTTTTTATAAATCCAACATTGCTGTAGTGTGTCAGCCCCTTTTCTACCCCTGCTCTCTTTTTATTTAGTTCTTAAGGTACCCACTAGAAATTCTGTTTAATTTTTCCCTATTTCCTTCTACAGTTCTCAGGATTCAAAGGAAGAAAAATTAGAAACAGTTAAACAATTGGTCCAGTTGCTAAACATCAAATATTAATAAATAATTCCAATTTCTTATGTTTATATTAATAACTTGAGAACATCTGTTTGCACCAGACTTCTCTTGGTATCTAGGCTATCCATTCCTCTGAAATCTAATGGCTCTGTTGCCTTGTGTCTCACTTAATGCCTCTGCTCTTGCTCTTTCCAAGGTTCCAGTGCTTTTTTACTTCTGTAATTTGTTGGACTTCCTCCAGTCATTTAGAAGACCTTTACTCTTTCCTCTTTTTAATCTGGATTTCATAGACATTTCCCTGAATTTCTGATTTTTTCTCTCCATTCTTTACTCTTTTTTTTTTCCCTGATCATATAATTACATCTTTTTGTCAGACACTTTCAATCTCAATTTACGGGTTTAGGAGTTTATGGCAAATTTTATGCCCTTCCAGATGTTTCTGGCTTTAAACTAGTATGATGAAAGGACTCCTGAAACTTTTATTTAGATCCTTCCTTGTTATTCTTCCCCAATTGGCAAATCCACACTTTTCCTGTCTCAGTGGAACTTTTTGAGGTTTGTTTCTATACTTGTCTTCACCCATCAAATTTTGCCAATTTTGTCATCCATTTTCTCTAACATATTCCCTTCCTCTCTTTCCCATTTCCAAGTGTTTATTGTGTCTCATGTGCTGTACTATAGTCACCTTCATTCTACTAGTTAACATAACCTTCAGAATAATTTATGTTACATTGAGAATGATACTAAAGACTATTAGAAGTATTGAACAGAGGGGGTCAGACAAATTTTAATCATGCGTTGAAAACTAGTCTTTCCATAAGTCGTGCTTTCACCAGTTCAGAGAAGAAACTGGCTTTTCTGAAATCTGCTTTTTGTTGATTCCTGTTCTTTGGTCATCCTTTATTTTTCCTGTTGAATTGCTACTGGTGTGGAAAAGTACTTTCTGAGGAGATGCTGCATACCACTCTACTTACAGTGAAGGTTTTGGTGACCAGAAATAGTTACCTAAGCTGTCTCTGGTGGATAGGCAACCCACTCATGAGATTCTGGCTTGGTAAATGTGTGAATTGTGAGACTGATAATTTTACAGGTCAGACAAATTCGCCCTGTTATCCTTCTCAGAATTACCATCCAGTACTCAGTGTTGCTAAAGTTAGTGCAGTTATTTATAGCACTCAATTCAGCATGTAATTTCACAAATGAAGTCCTGAATCAGTAAATACATCAAGAAGCATGGATAAGCAGACAGCTTCTTTAAGTTGTGGTTATTTCTGTGATACAATATTAAAGTGAATTGCATAGATTAATAACTCTGCTGTGCTCTGAGTTTTCTTTTAGAAATGCTTTTCTGAGCAAAGCTTTGCCTGACTATTGCCTTAGCTGTGTTCATTTTTCTTTCTGTTGCTAATGTTGTTTTAAAGGTCCTTAAGAGTATTTGGCTTTGTAGTTGTGGCCAATAATAGCTGCTCAGTAATAAAACATGGACTAAAGGAAACATATCTGCATAAAACTTTTGTATGATACTGTCTTTACATAAGGTGGTTTTAAACTTTAAAGTCAATGAATTCTTAGCTTTTAAGCAACTTTAACACTCTTCTTTCCTGTTTATCCTTAAATTTAGAATGTTATTTGCTTTTGGATTGAAATCTTCTAGGACTGGCTTCTGGGCATAGGCGAATTTTCTAGCAATTTTTAAGTTGAAGGATTTGATTTTATAAAGAATACATCCATAGTGGTTTTCCTGTTTGATTGCTTTTAAACAGTGCTGTAACTTAAACACTTGGGGAATTTAGTTTGGTTTAAAATAAATAATGATTAGTAATTTTGATTTAATGAAGTTCTGGGGGTGCTTTTTTTTTGCTCCCAGTGTTAATGTCCTATCTGCACTGACATTCCACATCTGCAAGCAAAAATGTGCATGCATGGTTCATTTCAGCTTTGTGCATATCAACAGGCTGAAATGATTGGCTTGCATCAGTAGAGCACTTCTGTCCTTAAGGTTTGCATTAGTGCAGCTGTACCCTTATTGAAATTATATATGTCTGTATGAACAAAGGAGGCCTCAGCTGCAAATACGTAGAAGATATGTGCTATGAATGTGCACTTTATATACTCTGCTCAATTAGCTTCATGATATAATTGCAGTTAAGATGTATAATTCTGGGTCAAGCACCCATATCCATTTTTCAGCAAGTTACTTTAAACACTGGGGATTTGATTTGAGTTTTCATGTACTTTAGTTATTTGGATTCATTTTGTTTAGCACTCCTCCACAACTGAACTGGGAACTTATGAGTGCAGTTAGCTTTTATGTGCTTTTATTGTTGCCACCTACAACTTTTATTAGTAGCATGCAATTGTTGAGTTCTGTTGTGTAAAACACACAGGGTATTTCCTTTTTTGTCATTTGAAAATACCTAAAAATTCTGTTATTTTGACAGTAAGTGCTCAGGCAGCCTGACCTTCAGTTTGCGCACAACAGGGGAAGAGGCAGGGGTACTCTTTTGGGGAAGCTGTGGAGGATTGTAGGATATTGCTTTGATGACTGAAGAGCATTCCAACTTGAACTCTTTCCTCAGTGCAGTAGGTTAAAGGGATCTGTATATGCTGTGCAGAGAACATGCTGACTGCTGCTGCTTCAAGCAGAGATTGATGAAACATCATCCATGTGTGCCTACAGCTGAAGAAAGTCTAAGTTTTAATGCAACTTTAATTTTGGTATTTTTTGACTAAGGGATTTCTGCTTGTATAAATGTATTGCATTTAGTATAAAATCTCACTATGTTTTAGACAGTAGGAATCAGGGTAGTATTTTATGCTACATACAGAGGTATATCAAATTGGTTGAACTTTTATTTGACTGGACTTGTGGTAAACTTTTACCTGTCCTGTTTTGTGGAGTGACTGTTCCAACAAATTTGACATAGAAATTTGTGTATTGAAGGAAAACTCTGTATTCGAGGGAATTTCCTCTTCGAATGGTTTCCTCCCTCTTCTCTCATCTAACACAGATCTGTAGGAAAAATAAGCTCTGTCACTTTACCTCGTGGCATAATTGCTGTGTTAAGCAGACCATTTATTCTTTGTCTGTTAAGAATTATTCCAAGGTAAACACTATTATCTTTAGCTCAGCTATAGTTTGGCTCCTGCAGACCTTTCTTTCTTTTTTAACCTTTTAGTCTGAAAATATTTTGATGTCAGTTCTACAAGTATCTGATGTGTTACAAGGACCTTGCAGTGCTTGCAGTGTATGTTTATAGAGTTTCTGCAGACTGTTGATTGGGTGCTTTGTTGCTAATTTTTTTGTCTGTGTGTTATTCACTATATGGTAGCTTTACTTAACTGTAGTTTTGAAAGCATGATTAAGGTTTGAATTTCTTTAACCTTTAGATATGACAAAGTCATCCTGTCATTCACCTATGTCAAAAGTTCGAGTTTTTCCAGCACTGGATCTTTCCATTAATGGCAGGATTGTCATTTGATTTGTTTAGGCATCATTATCTTGTGCTGGAACATTAGCCTTACCCCAGAGAGAATAATTTCTATACATATAGTGCAGCTGCACTGAAGGGGTTATATAAAACAAGCTGAAACTTTTAGTAATTACTCTACAGTATTACATTTACATATTTCCACTATTGCAAATAGTTTAAAAACACTGGCAACAATGGAATTTTAAAATAACCTTCATTCATCTACTCTCCACATGAAAACTTTGTGGCCACCACAGTAAGAAATATAACCCATATGCAAAAGCCAGACGCAATTAGACTTGGCTAGACAATGAGAAAATCTCCAAACTATTTGAACCATAAAAGTGGAAAAATCTGAAGTTATGTTTTGTTGTAGGTTCGGGAACTGCAAACACGTTTGCAAAGTGTGCAGGCAACAGGCCCATCCAGCCCAAGTCGCCTCACGTCTGCCAACCGGCCCATTAACCCCAGCACGGGAGAGCTGAGCACAAGCAGCAGTAGCAATGACATTCCTATCGCCAAGGTGAGCTGTTGTGCTTCAGTAACTCTTCTCATTATCTGGGACAAACAGGCCTCATTTGGCACTGCGCAAGCATGTGGTTGACTGGGAGATGTCTAGAATCCCTGGATTGCTCTCTGGTGTTCTGAGCAGGTCCGTGAACTTGAGGTGTGGAAGGGAATTATCATTAATGATCGTAGCTCTCTCAGTTGCGGTTTTATGGTGGTTTACTTCAGGTTTGCAAGCGTAGCTAGTGAACAGATGCATTTTGTGTAACCGTTTTGAAGTGTGGGTTCCTGTGTAACCTATGTAGCATTCTGGTTTTCAGATTGCTGAAAGAGTGAAGTTGTCAAAGACAAGATCAGAGTCTTCGTCATCTGACAGACCTGTCTTAGGATCAGAAATCAGCAGCATAGGGGTAAGGACTAATAATTATGTGCATGCATGATACCTTCTGAAGATGACCCGTGTTCCACTAAAAGCATCACTGCTTTCTATGAGCTAACTGAAGATAGTTTAGAAGTTATTTTGAGGAAAATATTTCAAGAAGGACTATTTCATAGAGTGTTAAGATCTCATTTTCTCCTAACTGGTGGCTAGAAATCATTCGCTGGAGTGACTCCAACAGGATAATTTCGGAGTCAGTTACTCCAAAATTTTCTTTGAGGAGATTCTTAAGTTGCATTTCACAACTTTCAGTCAACAGCTAAAATGGTTCTGCTTTGAAATGCCAATGTAAATCAATAACACTTGTTACTGTATGTTAATATTTGTTTTATTGAAGAACTTGACTCTAACCTTTTGCTAAATTTTCAAGAACATGAATAACTTGCATATTAGGCTTTTTAAATGTATGATGAAATAGTGGGCTTCACCCTTGGTTAGTAGAACTCTAAATCAAAATGACTTATAAAAAGCAGAGACTTGTAAACATTCTATTCAATGTAATATTCATAACAAAAACTGAATAATTAATGCCTCGAAGTGAGTGCATATGAGCAAATGCAGTTCTCAATGCTGTGTGCTTTTAGGAGAAATCCAGTGGTTATCTATTCACAATGATCAATTAACTGCTCTGTGTAGGTGTCTAGTACTGTGGCTGAACATTTGGCACATTCCCTCCAAGACTGCTCAAACATCCAGGAAATCTTTCAGACTCTTTATTCACATGGATCTGCTATCTCTGAAAGTAAAATCCGAGAGTTTGAAGTGGAGACAGAGAGATTAAATAGGTAAGGTGGAAAGTTAGGTTTGCTCAAATTTGATGTCTTTTATTAGCTTTCGTAATAATACTACTTTTTTTATTCTTTCTGAACATTCCTAAGTTTTGTCCCAGCCTAACTGTGGCAGCTGCAGATCAACATAGAATGTAGTTGCTGAATCCTATGCTAAGGATTCTTTCCGTGAGTATGAGAGTTTGGTCGTGTGTTAAATCAGCATGGCACCTTCACTTGTGACAGTTTGTGCTGTGAAGTGTCCTTTATAGTTGACCAAGTAGTTGTGGCATCTTTTTTCATAAGACATATTGCTGCTAGAAATAAGGATTCCCATAAGTTATGAAATTAGCTTGTTTTGTTTTGTCCTGAAGAAACAGAATAATAGCGTTAACTGTATCAACAAATGTACAGAAGTGTGTCATGTATACCAGTAAATAGATTTCTGACTGTGGAAGAGACTTTGAAGTTTTCTGGTTGCCGTTAAAGTACTGCTGGTGTTATTCAGGAAGTTCTATCAAAACCAGTGCTTCATGTCTTCTTTGGCACATAAAATCGCAACTGGATGAGGAACATGAAAATCATATCTCAGCATGTTTCTATCCAGGTTCTTCCTCTCTTCCCCACAGCTAGCTCAAATTCAGTCTGATCAGTACAATATCTCTTTTATTTGCAGCTCCCGTTTTTGTGGTGCTTCAAAATGTGATCCTTTTTGTTTCTTTTTTTTTTTCTGTACACTGCACAATTATGCTTTGACAGCAAGTATCCTTACAGAAGATGTCGAAGAAGATATAGAAAGTGAAGCATCTGGGAGTTCTAGCACCGAGGAAAGTCAGGGCTTTATTCTGATCACTGAATAAGTGGTATACTGACCATTCTTGTTCTTTGTTTATTAAGAAGTCAGTGATTTGAGAGTTCTGGATGGCACTGATTTCTTCATTAGTTACTGTCCAAATTTTGAGATTGTTTGCCTCTCTGTTTTTGGTATATATCCAACTTCTACAGTTAGGCATAGTACACTGATGTTAGTGCAGTTAACAGCACAGAGAATAAATAGTAATCCTGATATTCTGAAGCCTCATTTTCATATTTAGAGTTAACCTAATTGAGGAGAATATTACAATTAAGCTTCTATTTGACTGTTGCCAGAACATTTGGAGTTTGCATTGCCTCGCTGAAACTTCATTCATAGTTTGGAAGTTACCTCTCTAATCAAAACCTAAATATGACTTCAGATGGAATGGTTATTTTGGATGTTCTGAACAAATAAGGTGTTTATGCAACTGCATGATCCCTACACACACCCACAATGGCACTAATTAATATGCCACTTAAAACAAGAAACAGATGTGGCAGCAGAAAGTGAGGAATGGAAGCAGAAAGATTGCACAAAAGGTTAATATGAAACTGTCCAATGCAGTAATGTGGCTACAAAACCAGGGTACAACTCTCTGCTTGCTACTGTTGCGCAGGGTTATGGTTAAATTTTATGGGAAGGAGAGGAGAAGAGACTGTCCTAAGGGAGATTTCTATCCTCTTGGCTCTTGATAAGGGATACAGAACTGATGGATTTTGCCATCTTCATTTAAAAAACTTGTGTAGACAAAATGTTTTTTGTTGTTTTAAATTATGATTGTTCTAGAATTTTCAGGACAGTGACTCCAAGTTAAGCTTGAAGGTTGCAAATTACTTCCTTTTCTACAGCCGTATTGAACACTTGAAATCCCAGAATGACTTACTGACAATAACACTGGAAGAGTGCAAGAGCAATGCTGAGAGGATGAGCATGCTTGTTGGGAAGTATGAGTCCAATGCCACAGCCCTCAGGCTTGCACTGCAGTACAGGTATGTACCTACACAGAGGGTATCTCAGCCAGAAAAAGAGGGACCCAGGGGGAGACTTGTGAGAAGTCTTCAAGAGTGAAGTTGTTGGTGTGTCATAGTAGTAATGTTTCTTTTTTTCCCTCCCTAAAAAAGTCCCATTGGTTAAACTACTCAACAGACTACTGAACTGAAGTTATTGATATGGTATATTTCAACTCTAGTTGCAACTAATAGAAATATACAGGTTTATCTCTTGTTTTTTAAATGCTGAGTGTAGGGGTTGTGTATAGGCTCAGACAGTCTCTACTGAATCCAGTCTTAAGGCACAGGTTCTCTCTGTTGTGTTGGCACCTTTCACAAGACTAGTGGGCCAAATTATAGTATTGTACTCCAAATGTTTCAGAGTGACTTTGTACTACATCATTTGATATTGTGGATTAATTGCTTGATATTTGGGTAATAAGTATCCAAATTTGCTTCAAACTGTATGTAAAAAGATGGTGTCATTTAACACCTTCAACTATAGCTAATTCAGAACAGGCAATTCTGGTCTTAAGACAAATTCTGTGCCTTTTAAAGAATGTATTCTCTTACTATCAGCCTTGAGCAAATTCAAATGAAATGTAAATTTCTAATAGGTATATTAGTGTATATATATTTTTAAAAAACAACATCAGAATGCAACAGGAATGAGTGGCTCATGACTGTGATTGAAGCTGTTTTGTTGTCCTGCTGTCTTACAGCCAGGACAGAGCAAGAAGTATTTTTTGTGCTTCTTCTTTTCTTCTTACTATTCTGTGTGTAGTATAATTATATCAGGATGTTTAGAATACTGTATTTTGTATAGTGAGAAGGTCTGGGAAAAATTTCTCAAAGGGATCATGTTGACCACTGTTTGTATTGTCAACTGTTTCAAACATGCTTCTGGAGCTTACTTTACATCAAGCCCCTCTCTTCTAAAAATTGTTACATTAGATCTAAAAGATCTTTTTACATTACTTGAGGGCAACCTGGGCACTGTCATAAGGAAGGAGAAACTGTTGAATGCTTGTGATAGAAGCTATGTACATTCTGTGATTTAATATCCCTTCTGCTAGACAAGCAGTAGAGAATCATGCAGTTTGTCAGCTACCTCTTTTTTTTGTTGTTGTTGTTGTTACAGGTATTTGTCCTCTCTAAATTGCAGATAATATTTTGTGTGATTTTTGTTTTCTGTGGTTTGTTCTCTCTTTCAGTGAACAGTGCATAGAAGCATATGAGCTGCTGCTGGCATTGGCAGAAAGTGAGCAGAGTCTCATTCTTGGGCAGTTCAGAGCTGCAGGTGTTGGTTCTGTTGGTAAGATGTCAATGAATCTTTTAATACTTTTTATGTCAATTAGCATTAGAGTTGATTGTAATGGTGCATCCTCTTGTGACCCATCATTTAAGAACGCTCTGTAAACTTTTCTTGTTTTTAGCTAATTGAAATATTTTACACATTCCAAAAATAGGGGGAAAGAAAAGGAGAGACTGGAATTAAGTCACAAAATTCACCAGTAATTTAAATTCACATGTGTATGGTATCACAAGGGGGGATGCCTATTCTGGCAGAGGTGAAGCTGCTAAAGGTGTGCAACTGTACAGAGTAGAATAACTAAGCAATACTTAAGAGCATATATGGCTTAGGGCTGTATAGCTGTGGCAACTGCAAGTGCAGATCCTGTTTGAACCACTAAGATTGACACCCCCAGAAATGTCTATGAAACACTGGGATTAAGACAATACAAAGATAGCATTAAGTAGTTACCAAAAAAAAAAAGGCTATGATTTTTCACCCCCCATTTTACCTTTTCTGTGAAATTTTAAAATGTCTTATCTTCTGTTTTGCTGTGCTGCCAGGGATATTAACTTATATGTTCTGGGTTTTTCTTATTTTGTGGTTAGTTAATCTTGGGGCCAGGTGTTGGGTTTTGATATACTGCTTGCTGAGTAGTGGAACAAGCAACTGTCATAGGTACAGTACAGTTCAGAACTGTGAGGAGCTAGACATTGCTGCTGGCTCCACTTTTCTGATAGAAAGAGGTGTTTACACAATGAAAGTTAATGTGGGTGTTATAGTCCCATTCCTTTTATTGATAGGAGAAGGCAGCTACAGTAATCTTCAAGTAGAAAGAAGGAAAACCTTCAGAGAGAGAATAATAATCCTACAAGCTGTGCCGAGGCATAGTAACTGCCTGGTGTCTTCATAGTCCTTGCTTCTCAGGAATCACTGAAATGCAAATGGAAACCTTTCAGAGACAGAATGATCATCTGGTTTCAGAGCCACAGGACTGACATGATCAGTCTCTTGTTTCAAGTGACAATGCACACAGCCCACAATCGCTGTGCTGCTCACCATGCCCCTTATTTTGTATCTCTCCCAGTGCTAGACACAGGCCTGTGTGCACCTGTTTCACTGTGCAGTGTGTGCCATACACCAAACAATAAAGTTCTGAGATTTTCTTCCACCTTTCTTCCAAACTCTGGTCATTCCTTTCCACAATGTGCTAGGGAGCTATCCCTGCTGGCAGACGTCAGTGAGCAGCAAAAGTGAATTTAATCTTGGATTTGCTATTCACATAGCAGAAATAAATCTTAGGAGAGAGAAATACTTTGGATTTGAGTAGAGTTTCATCTGACATGCATTTTATGAAAGAGACTGTACGTTAGTTTTCATGTGGGTGTCTGTCTACAGTTCTTAATTATGGTATTATCAGTTACAGCCCTGAGACAGAAGTAGTGCAAATTTCCCATTACATAAGACAGTTTGGAGGAAGTTTTGTATGGTTTATGTACCTTTGCTTCAATATGAAATTTGATTAAAACACCTAGATAAAAGAACAGATTTTTAGTTTGACGATCAGTGAAGTTTTATATCAAAATCCATGAGTGGAAAATTCTTGGGGGTTGCATCACTTGGAGCTGAGCATATCCAGCTGCTCTTAACAGAACACTCACCCATCCTTTCTTCCTCATTATTGTTATTTCTAGTGCATGCACTTTACTTAGCAAATTTGAAGTATGGGTAATTGGTCTTTGACCTTGAGCAAGGATGAAATGAAAATCCAATATAGAGCAAACTGGTTTGGGTTTTTTTTTTTTATCTCTCTGACATATTTGGATTGTGTTTGGTAAAGCATTAATATATTGCAGTTTAATCTACAAATATATTTGTACATTTTCAGTGTAGCAAATAATGTGCCTTATTTTAATGGCTCAACTGCAGGAGTAGTGACTGGTGGTTTCAGTCCTGCTTCTGCAGGTCTGGATCTAAATGCAGTTGGTGGCTGGTCACTAGTGGTGTTCCCCAGGGCTGAGTATTTGGGCTGGTCCTGTTTGACATATTTACTGATGATCTGGATGTGGAGATTGAGTGCACCCTCAGTAAATTTGCAGATAACACTACATTGGGTGAGAATGTGGATCTGCCTGAGAGTAGCTCTACAGAGAGACCTGGACCAACTTGACTGTTGGGCATGAGGTTCAATAAGGCGAAGTGCTGAGTCCTGCACTTGGGACACAACAACCCCAAGCAGGACTACAGGCTGGGGGAGGGGTGGCTCAGGAGTTGTTTGGGGGA